TTTGTCATCTTACATTTGCTATATAAATGACAAAAATAATTTAAGGATCATGTTTGAAGGATCGAAAATCATGTATTATAATTTCATAGGCCCGAAAGAGCCCAATCGTTTATTTATCAACGCCTCGGCAACTCGTAGTCATCTGTATAATAATTTTTAACAAGTATTCGCTCCTTTCTCAATCTTTCTTTCTCACGCATTTTCTCGCACACTCACGCGTTCTTTAAATAATATATCGTACATGTTCACATTCACATAATGATATAACTAGCTTTCGCCTATTCGTTCGTCCATTCTCTTGTTTTTATTTTTATTTATTTTTTTATTTTTTTTTATTTTTGGTATATATATATTTTTTCTTTTTTTTTTTTTTTTTTTCATTTCTAAGCAGATTTTTCGAGTGCACTTTGACGTATTTCTCATGGTTTTCTTTTTATTATTATTATTTTTTTATTACTTTTTTTTTTTTTTTTTTTTTTTTTTTTTCTTAATGACACTGGAAGCGTTCCAACATTTTTTTCTTTTCTCTTCATTTTCTTTTTTTTTTTCTTTTGCTTTTTTTTCTTGTTGCATTCACCTTCTTCCGATCGACATATATATGTATATACATCGACGGTAGGTACTCGAACGTTTCATATATTTAGTTGATTAGGTACGTATACCTATTGTGTATGTGTATTATATATTGTGTATAATATGTATATACAGTCAACGTTACATTATGGGTTTTCCTCTACGGGTGATTTCAAAAACGAAGAGATTCTTAGGCAAAGACGGATTATCGTATTTTCTATTCTCTCTGAAGATCTTTTCGTATTAGATAAAACTTTGTTTATAAATCCTTTTCATTGATTTATTGCGACGAAATAAGAAAGGAAATTTATTGGGAAGCAAATTTTTCACGAAGATCATTAGATCCAATTAGAATATTTTCTTTGATAAATCTTCATAAAACAGATTTCTAAAAATTTGTATATAGACAGAGAGAGAGAGAGAGAGAGAGAGAGAGAGAGACAGAGAGAGAGAGAAAGAGAGAGACAGAGAGAGAGAGAAAGAGAGAGAACCGCAATTATAATCACATTAATCTAAACAACTGTTTATTAATAGTTAGGGTACACTAATCACGATAGCCGAGATAAAATTCGATCGATATTTCACAATATAGAATCTAGTCTCTTTCTCTTTATTTTTATATGACGAAAAACATAGTTTCGCATGTATTTTTTTTTTTGGTTTTTTTGTTTTTTTTTATCCTATATAAACCGGTCGCCGACTTTGCCCAAATACTCGAATAATCGCTCGCCTATGCGAGATTAGGAGCGATAGCGAACACACGTTATAGTGAGTACCAGAGTCGTTTAGGAAGGTTTAAGCATGCTTATAGCAGTGCGCTACTTACGAATATGTTTACATATAAGATAGTCTTATAGTTTATATTACACATTGCACGCGTGGCCGGGGTCAGAGTGTCTTTCAAGTAATAAAAAATATGTACATATATGTTTATATATATATATATATGTATGTATATATATATAGTATTGTATATATGTATATTTATATGGTTCGCGTATTTTATACTTGTGATATAATATGCATATGTATATATGCACATAAAATGTATGCATTTCTGCATGTGTGTTAGTGTTGTGTATGTTTCACGAGGAACGAGCTTTCACCTTTTGTTCTGTTTGATCGACGGAGCATCATTTATAAGATTATCGTCGTTTCGATCATAGACATATTAAATGTTTTATTTCATAAGAATTCTTCATGAAGATGTTCCCATTTCTATAGTTTGGTGGATTTTCAAATGAAAAATAAATAAACGACACTTTAATGTCCCGGTTGATGAGACAATCGAAATAAAAAGATTCTACTTTATAGACGTATGATAATCATTACCTTTTCCATGACGTTCTGTTTCATCGGTAAGGCAGGAATTTTTAAATGGATGAATTTTATTATCTAGAACGTTGAAATATTCTAAAGACACGTTAGCGCTTACATCTCGTGGAAAATTGATATCTGACCCTTGCCACAAATGTTACCATAGTACGATAAAATGATTCGTTTAACAGGAGCTTCGATAATAACACGTCTCGAAACGTTTATTGTTGCAGTATGAACCTTTTGTTTTCTTTTTTTTTTTTTCTTTTGGATATGTAATATTAAATTAATTATTATCATCCATATGTTCTCTTTTTTCCCTTTTAGTCTTATTCTTCGCTTTTGATTTTTTAATGCGTTAAAATTAGGCCAAACATTCAAATGCGATTATTCTCGAAATGGTTCGTACGTATTAGCAATATCCAGCAAACGAATCATTCTCTTTTATATTTTATTTATTTATTTATTTATTTATTTATTTATTTTTTTTTTTTTTTTTTTCTATTAATCGTGTCCTCTTCGTTTGAAAAAAGCTTCGAAAAAACTGAATCTATTTGAAACCAGAGTAAAATCGCGCATTGGCTAGCCTTTTCTAAGAGGCCTTGATATGTTCAATTGGAACCACCGTAGTTTATTATCGTATCGGTCTCTTCATCGTAATCACTGCTCTGTGTCTTCCTTTCTCTCTTTCTCTTTCTTTAATTTTCTATTCTTTTTTCTTTTTTTCTTTTTTTTTGTTGCTCTTGCAATTTTTGGCTTTTTCTCATTTTGTTTTTCGAGTAAATTATATGGAAGAGACAACTTATGATCAAATATATAATGTTGCACGTTCAACGATCGCTTAGCTGTGTGCTTTTGTAAAATTACGTATAAATAATCTTCTTTTTCTTATTTTTTTTTTTTTTGTCAATTATTATAGAGAAATATTTCAATTTTTCTGCCATTTTCACGAAGCTCGAATATATTCGAATTTCTTCTCAAATATTAACTCAAGAATTTTATTACTTCGTATTACTTTCGTATATTTAAAATACAGGGCGGATTAAAAATTTTTTAATGAATCAAAAGTTCATAAATGATTTTAAAAATCAATTACTTTTTTTTTCGTGATTGTCTCGCAAAAGAGTAATTGATTTTTAAGATCACCTATAAAACAATTTACGGTTCACATAAGAACTTTTAAATCACTTTATAGAAATAAAACTATTGAATGCTAAGTGTGTAATTAGGCCGAAGATCATCAAGAATTTTTTGCAATCTAACGTGTGATATTATCAAGAATAAAAAAAGAAAAATATCTTTTAGAATCGATAAATGAATGGAAGAACGTTACATTTTTTGCTTCGTGAAAATAACTCGTCTAATATAATTATCAGAGACACTCTCATTTTTTCAATTAACAAATAGCATTATTAAGTATATTATCGTATAGTGCGATTACCTTATTTTGTACGAATAAATATATAAGATAAAACTATTTATACAATTCCACTATACAACGAGAGAGCAATTGTTCAAAGAAATGTTGTACGATGGAGAGAATGAAAATGATTCATTTCAATGGACACAATCTAGTAGAATCTTTCGATGTTACGCTTTGCTTGAACCAAGCAAAATCCTTAAAGACTTTATTCGAATACAATGATCAAAGATAACGAAAATTTAGATACTTGTTTTCCTTCCTTTTTTTTTCTTTCTTTTTTTTTTTTCTTTTTTATTATGTTCTTTTTTTTTCTTGATAGATTCAAGCGTATCTATGCCTTCTTAAACTACCGCAAAAATATGTTCAACAACAATTCAGCGGTTGATTACAACACGAACGAGCTTTTTGTTTTTCATCGACTTTGATCATTTATGCTTTTTCTTTTTACGAACGCACGTTTGGTCACTCCAAAATGGATCGTTTTGGACGATTGTTCGGACACCAGCCACGAATTTTTTATCTATTTAACACGTACGCGAATTTCTTCTTCGTATTGTACCTGGATGTATATGTGTTATCGTATATATGTATATATAACATGAGATTTACATATTCTATCTCTTTGAGCAATGTGCCAGTGGATCATAAACTTTATACATTATTGCTTTTCCGATAGCCACGTCACGTACATTCAATCTCGCTCGCGTACATCCCAACTCTCTTCTCGTCAAAATTAACACATTGTGCCTGTCGAGTAGATTGCAATATTGTGCCGTGCATTGTACTCGATTACAATTACAACCTATATACCTTTATAAAACAGAAGAATACGTCTTTAACGCTTTTCCCCGTATAAATTAATAGCGAATGCATCGAGACAATCCGATTAAATGTTTTTTACGAAATACCACTACATTGATTATCTATGAATAATGAAGGAATTCACTTAACGTGAATGTGTAATGCGATGATTGCCAAAAATCGAAAAAATAAAATAACAAAATAGTAGGATATTAAAATATCTTTTGTGCATAGGATTATTTCGTATTTAGTTGGGATGATCGTGAGTCGAATAATAATTTTTCTATCGCATACATTCATATCCGTCGCATCACATATATGCCAATACGATTGTACATATAATTAGTCAAGTTTCTAAATTGACGAATTTCTTTATAATAAACTTAACTTTTCACTACAGCGCAAAGTTTCAATGTACAAACGTTATTATATCGATGTTTGTCAGCGTGGACATCCGCGCCATGCTTTCGTCGATGCTTTCATTCCTTAGCTACAATAAATTTGCATACTTAAATTTAATATGGGTTTATAATAATAATAATATATATATATTATTATTATTATTTCTTATATATATATATATATATATGTGTGTGTATATTTGTATATATATATATATGTATACTTTGTTTGTATATATGTAAGTGAATAATTAATTTTTTTCGTATGTTTGCTTCCTACGTCGTTACTTCATCGATCTTTCCGCTTTATCTATCGTTCGAGATCGCAAATTCCCGCATTACTTGTTAATGTCATACATTGGATATAACAGCTTAGGAAAATTTGAGCCACCTTCTTGAGTATAATGATTACACGATATCTAAGGTGGCTTTAAAAATACCACTCGTATAATCCCGATAACTTCTCTTTGTTTTTTTTTTTTTTATTTTTTTTTTTTACGTAGCGTATCTACTTCTATTTTTTACACCTTTATTTTATATCTATATTAACAATCTATAATTCGATCTACAATATTCGGAGCCTCATATGATTAACCTGAAGACGCGTTATTTGCGCTTCAAGTTTCAACTTTAACAAACACACCTAATGGTCCAGTATGGGAGGAGCTTGTAGATTAATTCATTATACATATTAATTAATGCTAGTCATTTACAGACTCTCTGTTTCTTTCTTTCTTTCTATTTCTCTCTCTCTCTCTCTCTCTCTCTCTCTCTCTCTCTCTCCCTCCCTTTCATTCTTTCTCTAATTCATTCGATTTATACAAACGAAGTCATTCCAGGCAATCGAGTATCGTACTTGATTTTATCTCCAATAATTATAGAATCGTTCATGCCTTAGGAGATTTTTCATAATTTCCTTTAGAGTAGAACTTGAACTCTGCTGATATCGTGTCGTAGTTTATTTTGGATCAATATAATTATCGCGACAGGATTTTACATTAGCCAAGATCGTTTGGAAGATATTGTAATATTATCGCCGGTCCAGCAGCGAACTATGTATTTGAATTTATGCTCACTTTTTTCATACGTGATCTATTTCTTATTGAAAATGTAATATCAGAAAAAGCACGTTTTGCATCGAGATCGAGCAGATAACTGCAGCTGTTTCTATACGTTCGATTTTATGACAACGCGACTATAATTCGGTTTTGCTATTCTATTTTCTCTTCAATCAATATTTTCAAAATACAACGTGAATGAAAATAGACTCGAGAAGAAACATATAAGAAAATAAATCTTTCCCTCTTTTGTCATATTCTTTTACATTACGTAACACGTACAGAGATTTTTCTTATTACGATCTTATTGTAATACTACCACATATATGGTATATGTTTATCCGTAATCTATTACACGGAAAATTATTTGGCTTAGTTTTTTATAGTGTCGTTCGATTCTCGATTGTAGGAACAAGTTTGGATAGTCAGACAGATAGCCATTTTATATCTTTCTCGAAAAAGATGAATTAAACTTCTTTACGCAAGTATCTACGCACCACATACAGGCAGATACAAACATACATACATATACGTACGAAAACGTACGCGTAAACGTACATACGCGCATACATACATACGTACATACATACATACACACATACTCACACACACACACACACACACATTCACACCCACATATATCTGCATACATCATTTTTCATTCTTTCCTTTTTTCATTAAACTCTTTCTGACACTTTTTCATGTCCCTAAATCGTCGTTGATATTTTAAACACTCGAGGCTCTTTTTCCCCTTCTCTTCTAGAATAGGTAACTTTATACGTGTCACGAATCGTTGGCGAGACACGTCGAAGTGGACGCGAGAACGCTGCACGCGAGGAGCACGAGTAGGAGGATAGAACTCGATGACCTTGACATGCTTCTACCATCGTTGCTATAGGGTAGTTTAACCGCGACCTCGGCCATCTTGAATATCGAGAGTAAAGGATGCGTGTGAACTTCATGATGCTTATTATTGATCTTCTGGCTCAAATCCTCCAGCATGGAAGCGCATTCCTCCTGAAAAGAAAATCATTACGTTTAACATACGAGTACAAGTATTTATACAAATAAATAATATTTTTCACAAAATGTATAATATATATATATATATATATATATATATATATATCACTTTATATAAAAATACAAAAAAATTATATCTACGAACGAGTTATTCGATAAAATTATCATAGTATTTATTCAATGATAATATTTTGACGAATAATGTTTTCTTATGTCATGTTTCTTCGCAAATTCAACATCGTGAAACATAACACGTTATCGTTGTTCATAAAGTCACAGCATCGATTTCTATTTTCAACTCTCGCTATCCCTTTTCAAGTTTTTCCTTTCTCTCTCTCTCTCTCTCTCTCTCTCTCTCTCTCTCACCCCTCTCTTACTTTCTTTCTCTCTTTGTCCTACTCCTTCACTTCGAAATTACCTTCGCCTCGTTGAATCTTTAATTTCCGGCATAGGATAGGGAAACTGAGGCTAGAACGATTTTTGGTGATATTTTTCGTGGGTAGGAAAGGGTGTGCGAGAGGGTGATATGGTGGAAATGTACGCGACGCACATCGTGCGCCACGTGGCACGACGAGATTTCGACGTCACTGAGATTTCGAAACGTCGAGAAGAGTACGCGTCAGGTCTTCCTCGTCCTTGTTCTCTCTACGTCCTCGTCTTCGTATTTGGCATCCTCGTTCGTTTTGCAAAAGTCCTTTACCGAACGTCGGATATTCAATGAAATTAAATTCCCTTTCCGTCTTTTCTCAGGAACTGAATTTTTTCATCGATAAAGATAGAGAAAGTATTATCGGTGACATTATTCCACCGCAATAGGTATGTTCTTTATTCTCCTCTATTCGTATCATTTTCGATATTTCATTTTACATTAATTTGCTATTAAAATGTTTCCTTTTTCATTATTACCTTTAATTTAATTTTAATTTTTCGATATCCTTTATCATTTTTTAAAGAAGAGAATTATATTATTGCGTGTTAAATTATTATATAATTTTAAAATCATTAATTATATATATATATATATGTATATTTATAAATTTATTATTTTCATACATTAACATTATGTCAAGTATTTATATATGTATAATAATATATTATTGATCTCGTCATATGACATGTTTTTTTATTAACGATATTAATCTATAACTATAGGAATTGCTCGAGGATGAATTCGGTGCGTGGTGATTTTAAAAATTCAGTATGACATCCTGAACAATCGCATTATTCCCATATCCACGCATCAGCTTTTATCTTGTAATTCAATAAAACGTTAGGGGAACGGGGACAATAACAATCCAAGCAGGGGATTCCAGTGAAAACCCAAAGCGATAATTCATTTTACATATCGGCTCACACTAATTGCTACCGGTTTCGAACTCCTCCTAGCACGTAGCGTGTTAATTATGGAACACGAGAATCGACGATCTTACAGCACGGCAAGCTTAGTAAAATTTCCTTTGTTATATCAGATTCTAAATCTTTGACGATGCAAGTATTACGATTTGTTCAATTAGGATGAAATGGCAAAATAAAAGTTTACGTCAACTTATAAAAAATATTAATATAATCATATAATATTTGACAATGATTAAGAGAGAATGATATTTATATATTTAATATATAACGATGTGAAATATAATTATGATAAAGGATTAAAAATAAATAGTATTATATGAAAATATTAAAAATAAAATCGATCTTAATTATCCATCTGTATTATTCATAATATCATTTTCTTAATAAATTACGAATTACGACGATATCTTTTATGTCTCATAATTAATTTCCCAAGACGCGGACTCATATAAATAATTCAATATTTTTGTATAAGTAGACATTGAGAAATATCTGATCTAGAGTTGACATTTGAAATATATCTAGCAATACGAGTACCTACGATGTACCTACTTAGGCAAGATTTAATTAATGCGATTAACGTAACTAGAGAATATAGTTACCTTTCGTTGAGAAAGTTTTATACTAAAGATCGCGATCTATGAAGAAGATCATATATACCAGAAAGAGAGAAAAAGAGAGAGAGAGAGAGAGAGAGAGTGTGTGTTTGTGTTTGTGTACCATCGAGTCACGGTTTAATTAATACGGGGCTGCGGCATACCGACGGAATTCTGCGGAAGCTCGATACCCCGCTATAATTTACGAACGTTCTCGTCTATTACCGCTGGATCCCTTTTATCGATATAATACAACTAAATATTTAGATGCGCATGTAAGCAACGGAGTTTCAAGGGAGCAAAGGTGAAATATCCTATAGAAATACTTTGTAAGCCAATCTCCAGGGATATTTCAAAATCGAATCGCTAAACTCGATCCTTTCCATTCGATGATATATTTCCTATTAAAATTTCTTCCTTATCGTCGAACTTGTATTCATCTAATTCGATAAATCATTTCACATTAAATATCAGTATAGATTCATTAAAATTAATTAAATATGATGATTTAGATATAGTGAAAGAGAGAGAGAGAGAGAGAGAGAGAGAGATGGATAGATAGATAGATAGATAGATAGATACATAGATAGATAGATAGATAGATAGATAGATAGATAGATAGATAGATAGATAGATAGAGAGAGAGAGAGAGAGAGAAAGAGAGAAAGAGAGAGAGAGAGAACAAGAGGAAACTAAGGATCGTACTTTCCAAAGGAGTGAATAACGTTCTAGATCCACCAGAGGATTCTGAGAACTAATGATATCTCTTTCTCTTTCCTCCCTAGGAAACGATCCGCGAAGCAAAGGATTCTATTTATATACGTTTGGAGATATGCGAATGAGAAGCTGTTGTAAGATGGCATCGCGATGGTGTGTCTTAACCGTTGTTGCAGGTGCATTCGCGTTTCTCATAGGACAGGTAAACCATTATCCTTCTTCCTCCGAGGGAATCCCTTATTAATGGTCGGCTAATTGGATTTCTCGGGAGAGAAACGATTAGGTCAACGCAGTCTTGTATGCGAAGATGAAGAGAAAGAGAAAGAGAGGGAAAGAGAGAGATAGATAGATAGATAGATAGATAGATAGAGAGAGAGAGAGAGAGAGAGAGAGAGAGAGAGAGAGAGAGAGAGAAGATTCGTAGTAACGAAGAACCGAGAGGTCTGTTATAGGATGGCGACGTCTTCCACTGACCCCCTTTCCATTTCATACTTAAACTTCGATTGAAAACGGAGAGAGAGAGAGGGAGAGAGAGGGAGAGAGAGAGAGATAGATAGGTAGATAGGCGGATAGAGAGAAAGAGAGAGAGAGAGAGAGAGACAGAGAGAGAAATGTTCGATATCTGAAACGATTGTGTTTGCGACGTTCGTTTACAGTTCGAAACGAGACCCGTTTGCGACTCGTGTCGTCGAACAATGTTATCAATGTATAATGACGTGATAATGGGAAAGATGTACGCCAACGATAAGAATACTACTTTACTGTAACTCTATCTCTATCTCTTGTTCCCTATCTCCCGTGTTCTCTTTCATTCGATATTTCGTTTCAAATTCGTACACTTGTAACTTCTTCCTATTTAATAATTTATATTAAAATACTGTATGGTTTATCGAACGGTCAATAATGCAGAGAAGTGCGTGAAACAATAATATTCTTTATCGAATATAAATTTTTACGACAACAGGATCGGCTAGAGGATCCCAGCGGTTGGTAGTCTCGTAAAAGTCGTGCATTAGTGCCGGTAGTAACTATAAACGAATGTTTTAATGGTCGCGTAAAAGAATTCTTTCGTTGAAGAAAGGGCAACACTCCGACATCTGGAGTGTCCACTTGATCGATAACGACGTCGAGACTTAGTTAACGTTCAATAGAAAAAGTGTAAAAAAAAAAGAAAAAAGAAAAAAAAAGAAAAAGAAAAAGAAAAAGAAAAAAAATTGATCGAAGAAAATGAAGGAGTATAGTGGAGTGAACGGGAAGAGTATGAAAAAGGAGAGACAAAGACGTAAGTCTACGTCATGATGTCTTTATCGAATAGCGAGTTCTCGAGTATAAAAGAACGAGCAATTAAATTAGAATAAAAATGGAATTAATAGGGAATGATTTAAGTACTTGTGAACTATAAAGTCGAGAATTATAAAGGGAATACGTCAGAGTCAATAGACAACATCAAAAAATCTACTTTAATATTTAAACTATTTATCTTAATTTATATCGAATTTAGAAATCGCTTTAATTAACTTTAATCCATTAAATATTTGTGATCATAAAATTACAATATATTAATATTTAATGTGATTTAATGTGAACGTCGAACGATGATTTAGGTATTTTATTAAATTCCATACAAAATAATATGAAAATATAATTTTGCCATTATTTTCACTTACAATATTCTTATATCTAATTATTTAATAAATGGATAAATAAATTAATATCAACGAACAAATATCAATTAATTATTGTTTATGCAAATCCAGGATTGAAGTATCTCGATTTTAAAACGTAATAATGTGAAAAGTTATATTTTACGTCATTTCATGCAAAATCACTGTACCCATTTGAAACATGTAAAATAAGGAAGTTGTGCATTAAAGAGTCTTTCCGCTCGTTTCATGGGTTCAGTCCGACCCGTTCTTAAACTCCAAAGCTCTTGTGACGCTGCAACGTTGTCGGACTGTTTTAAAAATGAAAGAACTCCCTTTTACATTCCTACTGTTGCCTCTCTCTTATAGTATTCCTGGATATCTCCTTCTTTTCTGACCGAACAAAGGACCACGTTGTGGTAGAAACGTGCGCAATCCGCACTAGACGATAGTAGTCGGTACTATTAACCAATTTTTTTTTTTTTTCATATAAACTTACTTATCACGTTTTACAACGTAACTCGTATAATTAAAAAATCATTACATTTTGTTACTTATGTCAATATGGATAAAGAGAGAAAAAAAAGTAGGGAGAGAGAGAGAGAGAGAAGGAGAAAGAGAGAAAGAGAGCTTATTGTTAGCACAATAATAGAGAGGAAGATAGAACATCAAAAATATTAGT